CGTTCAAAGGTTTTTCTTTGTAGATGCAAAAAACACCTCTGAGTAGCACAGTATACTCAGTTTCGCCAACTGATAAAAAGCTTGGCAGTCATGCGATATGCCCTACGAAACAAAACGAGCGTCTGAAAAAAAAATTGACGAACTTTTTGTACAGGCTAATACTGATGTCTACTGTACAACCCTTTTAAAACGTATCTTATCAAGGTTTTTTTTTTTTCAACAAAATAGCTTCGTTGAAGCTTTGATCGGATTTTGAAATCATTCAACGCTGTGAGGCCTCTATAACCTCTTTTGGTTGCAATACCAGTTCCCTTTCCTCCTGCACCTACCTTTCCATATAAGCTTTTTTCTTTTTTCTAAGAAAAACGATAAGTAAAGCGATTCTCAGCGGCACTCTAGGATTTACAGAGACGGAATTTTATGAGGAGTTTCAGTGAATTCTGGAATTCTTCTATTCGATTTTTCAGAGAGTTGTCATTAAAGCAAGGGTTGATTTCACCAAATGAGCTGAATAGTTTTTTTGGGATCGGCTTCAGAAAAAGATTTTTCCAGATTTCTTATTCGACAATACTTTGCCGGAAACATGCCGCCAAGTAGCACTGTCATCTTTACAATGCATTGCCACTAGTCTTTTGGACTCGCTAAGAAGCTGCGCTCGCGCGCCTCTTAGTTCAATAGGTGTGGATGTAGCTGCTGAAGAACGGAAGGAGAAAGCAGAGAACTGTCTGAAGGTGGGGCATTTATCAGGCATATACTTCTTTTTTATTTTCTTCATTCAATCGACGCTTATTCGCTTATAAGTTCTGTCATGCTCATTGTTGATTGCTCATCCACCAAAACCAAAAAAACGCAGATATATTTTTTTTTCACTTTATCCGAATGCCGGAACAGGAACGACATCTTCCATGTCTAAATTGATTCAGTTTGCCATAATTACTAAAATCACCTTAACTTCCTATAGATAAGCCGCACTATGAGATCTATCAGCTGCAGAACTGTGGTGCGTCGCAACGCTCCGTCAGCGCGCTATTCTCATCTGTGCACCCACGTTCCTATTGGCCGCGCTGCCCATGTACAGCGTGAATGGCGAGGGTAGCCCTGCTGCGTTGGTATTACGCCCAACGGAGCTTTCTGAGTGCGGCTTATCTACAGAAAATTAGGACATATTTGTCTGACATTTTGGTAGCACAAATTTGTGCTTTGTCCGAAAAATCACATTTCTCACAACATCAGAACAAAGGTCGAGAATATTTTTGCAACTTCACTGGCAATGCTTGTAAATGAGTCTAGATTCTGAGCTTTATTTTTCAAGAGCTATACTTGATTTTTTCGCGCGGAGTTGTTATAAGGGAAGAAAAATCACACGTCAAATCAATCACTGATCAAGAAAGCACTAGTCCATCAGTAGCGAGTTAGGCCTTTTGTAAAAGATTGTTGACGTATTTTCATTTTAAAAACACGGATTTATCAACACGAATAGCTAGACCAGGTTTTTGTTCTAGCTCTACTAAAAAAGGGTGTTCTGTGATTCATGACACGGCGTAACATACTGTGAAAGTAGGCTTTCCATTTGCCGCAAATACAGTGATCCACTCTTTCATTAGATCGCTTATCTTGCAAAATCTTACTATATTTCTTTTAAGATCAATTGAAATGGAAGCGTTAACATGTTTCAAGAATGAATACTTCGGAGTAAGAGTTTAGATATTTTACTCCCTGTTTATAAATGACCACTTCAGGAACTGAGGGATCTTAGAGACAGACGTGAGCAGTTTTATCGAAGACTTTCACAAGAAGATGTTTATAGATTAGATGCCATAATGGTGTTTTTGAAACCACTGTGAATTATCATTATATTTTTGTATAATGCGCATTGAGCCTAAGTCGAGTTGTGCTTTGTTTTTCACTTATATATCAAGGCTGTAGTGCATTGATCTCTTTTCCTGCTGTGTCTACTTTTCATTAGCTCGTAATTTGTACCAGATCGACGCCGCTCTATCTGGTTGACTGACTTCATGCCGATCCTCATCGCTCATTGTGTAGATTTGGCATCGTATTTCTTTGTGTTGTACCGGGTTACAGTGCTTTATGCCAACTGTGATATTGATTCTAAGAGAGTATAAATTTTATTCTCATTCCTAAATTGACAGGGTGATCGGCAGTTTGAGATGTATTTCGTATTTAGTGACTGTTCGTTTGTTCGGTATTTTTTCTATTCATTTTCCCGTTTTTTAAAAGATAGGACGTAAAAAAGAGATCCATTGCGATTTGTCGATCATTTATACAAAACACTTCATTTTAAAACACATCCACATAACAAAACAAACTTGACCCAACAGCCATTCCCAAAATCAACAATGTAAAAAACAGATTACGGTATTCCTTCAACAAAAAAATGTCCTAAACGAAGACAAAGGGGCGTCGCAAAAGATATATATGACCCCAAAGCATTGCTCTTGATTTTGCAATAAGCGAGGTTTCATGGCATTCAAAAAGACAGCAAACTCTACCATCGCCGCTGTCCACTGCTACATTTATGGATATAAATATCAAATTCCTAGTAATTTTGATGACTGAAAAAGAACTATTCGGATAAAGCGACAACCGTTATGAGGTGAATATTAGTAGGATACGAAAACATCTAAAAAGTATAGTAACAGAATAGTAACAATCTCTGTAACTGATCGTTTTGGAAGTCCAACGAAACGAAGACTAGTCGATCTTGATATTAAATTGGAGAACAAGTATCAATTCACAGTTATTGCGATTCGAGAAAATGACTAAATGAAGTACTTTTTATTTCTTTCCCTTTTTCACCTTGGGAAACGCAGCTGCAAGCAACGTAGTCTGATGAGGAGCAATGGCAGTTCGGACTGGATCGAACAAGCTACAAATGAAGAACTCGAATAAATGACCAGGTGAATAGAAAACTTCAATTTTCATAAACTCCAAAATTGACGCCTCACAACATTGGAACTCACTTGTTGATGAATGTGACCACAGCGTTCTTCAAATCACCTGGATGAAGAGGGTAGTCCTTCTTTGAACCAACCAAGAACTCATATTCTAGTTCTTCATAAGTCTTTACGCTTAAATCGCCACCGTTATCTTCATTTCGACTGATATTAAGGCCTAAACTCGAAGATATGCAAATTTCGTCGCCGATTAAAAAGCAGTGATGCTTTCCATTAGTACTAATGTAGTATGAAAGGGAAATTTAAAGAAGAAACGGCTCACTTGACCCAGACAGAAGTGGGAAGACCAGTTGTTTTGCTATGATCATGGCTACATTTCCTTGCAAATTCTGTGGTTCACAAAACGATCTAAAATGCAAATGCACTGCCTTATCTCCACCACTTCTTCAAAACAAAGATTACCTTCCCAATTTTGTCTTTATTTGTTTTGGTGTTTCCAATGGATCCAAAAGGAAGTCAGGTGAAGAACAACCCATCTTCTTTCCATCACATCCAGGTAAAGTAGGAAAAGCTATTTGCGTGGGGGGCACGAAACCTTGACTTGCCCATAGCTAAAACAATTTGTGATACTCCCAAACGGGTATACGTCGAACGGTGCAATTTTCGGTT